TAAAAATTGTGAAAAATTTTGTTTCAAAAAATCACTAGGTAGACCCCATCTTTTTAATGCATAGACATCTCCACTTACACAATCTTATAAAAATAATCTAGTATTGATCTTAAATTCGATTTTTTTACACTTTAATACTTAACATTGATAAATATAATAATAATAATAATAATAATATAGAATATTTGATGCTTTTAATATTAAAAAAATGATTTAGCAAATAATTTTAAAGACACAAGAATTTAATGTTAAGATAATAAAGAGCCATATTACACATAGATAAGGATGCATTAAATTTTATTATTAAAATAACAAATATAATAAGAATCGTGATTTAAAAATCATGATTTAAAATTAAAAGTAGTTTATTTTTGCATGGATATCTGTGTGGAAGGTGTAATATATTTTTTACCATATATAATTTATTTGAATAAAAAAATAGTACAATATCTAGAAATAGCATTAATTTTTCAATAATATGACAACTAACTAGAGATTCTAATTCATATTAATATTTTGGAAGATATTTTATAGTGAAATTAAATTCAACATTAAGTTTCTTACAACTTCTTATCTCTTAATTTAAAGTTAAAAAAGAAACTAATTTAGTATAAAAGAAGTATTTAAAATATAAGAATTTCAATCATCAATTAAGAAATTACATAATTGATTTCTACCACCGAAATTTCTATATAGCGATTGTTTTTTTTTTTTCGTAGTCAACAAAAATTATTTTTTTGAATTATGATTGTAATCTAAAATTTACTGATTTCCACTTTTTACAAGTTTAAAATTTTAATAATTAAAATACATATAAAATAAGGTATTAGAGCCATATATAAAAATAAAATAAAAATAATTCAAGAATTAGAAGAAGCATGTTAATATATATATATATATATATATATATATATATATATATATATATATATATATATATATATATATATATATATATATATATATATATATATTTTTCTAAATTTGGTAATAAAATATAGCCAATTTTTCATAACCTAAAGAATATTCAACAAAGAAAAAAATTAGTTTATTAAAGACATGTAATATTTGTAATTTTTAAGTAGATTAGAAAATTTTATTATTTGTTGCAATTAATTTAATGAACAAGAATTTTTATATATATATATATATATATATATATTGTGTATATTTTATTAAATATTTATTTTGGGTAATTCATAAGTATAGAAGTATTTATGAATACTTTCCACAAAAAATATAATAATGTAGAATTTAAAATAAAAGAATATTTAGATACGGGGGGGCGCTTATATAGAGTGGAATAACTTATATATTAGTAAAAATATGATATTATCAATCACACATAGAAGTCATTTTAAATTTATTATTAAATACTTAAGTTATTTTTATCTTTATAGTATTAGCTTTAAAATAAGGATCTTTAAGGTAATATATCTTTTATTAACTAGTAGCAAGCTAGGATGTGCTTGATACCACAATGTTGGCAAAGAATCTCTATGTGTTAATACTACACTTTTTAGCATTCTAAATGCATTATCTGAAAGCAATTATAAATATTGTAACAATGATTAAATAACTAAGTAATCTTCTTATCTAATGATAAAAAATATTAATAATTATGAGAACCTTACAACTCTTTTTATATAAATAATATATCAATGTTTATAGAAAAGACCATTTTTCATATTTTTACCTTTTTAAGTTTGTTAAATCTTGTAAAAATATTTTTTAGAAAAAAAGTTAATATAATTGATGACTATATTATTTAAATAAATAGAAGTAGGTAGAAATAATTAGAAATATGTGGAAAAAATACTATTATTTTTAAATAATATTTTTTTAACATAATAATTTAATCTATTCTTATAAATATATTAAGTGTAATAGATGTCCATATTAAAATAAATAAAAATACATAAAAGTACATAAAAATATGTTACAAACATTATTTTCTTCTCAAGAAGCTTCAAGAAATTTTCTTAGATCATGATTATATATTTAGACTTTTATAGGTATAGCATGTGTATATTAAAACTTTTTCCATAAGTTTATTATTTTTAGGAAGTTGCATTGAAAGCAATCTACACCTTAAAAAATTAGGCCATAAGCCTTGTGGTTTCTACAAAGTTTGTAAATAACCTTCTCCATAGCTAGTGTGTATGGAGGTAAGATTGATGCCATTTTTAGTCATCAATACCTTTGTGGTATTCTAGTCTTAATTAAAGGTTCTTTACTCTCTTTGAATTTGGAAATAGCTTTTTTAATTCTTTTCTATCTTTTAATTATCTCTTCATTTTTTATACTTTTTCTGGTCTTTGGCAACACATGAGTATATTGTCTTTTGGATTTTGTCTAGATTCATATTCTTAATACTAAATTACTATTCAAACTTGTGTTTTAATTTTCTTATCTTTAAAAAACTACAATAAAAGCCACATATAACTTGGACTCATAAACTTCAAGCCTTCTTGACTTCATAAAGTTTCTAAATAGCTTTTTCAATAGCTAGTATATATAGAAACAAGCTCAAGGCCATCATCAATCTTAGTAAGGTCTTTCTTGTGTTTTAGACTTTATTTAAGACTCTCTGTATTTATTAATAGAAATATTAGTTATTTTTCTATCTTATATATCTATATATATATTCTTTTTTTAGTAGTATATAATTCTATTATTAATTCAAAATATTAAGATTTATTCTTTTAATAATTAATATTATATATTTTTTATAAATTAATTGCAAATACCTCAATTAAAAAATATATTTTTTTATTATTTATTACTTATCATCTTTGGTATAAATAAATTATTTTTTAATAATTTAAAAAATATATATTATATAAAATTTATATTATAAATAAATTTAATTTAAATAATTTGGATTTTATAAAGTTTAGATTTTTTATTTTAAAATTTAAGTGCTAAATGATGAATATATTTAAAAATTATCTATAGTTGTAGAATCTTAAAAGATTATTATTAGAAAAAATTAATAAATGAAAAGACTAAAAAAATTGAAAGTTTTTTTTTTTTTTTTTTTTTTTTTTTTTTTTGGGGAAACGAAAACTTGCTTAAATTATTGGGGCTTTATAATAATATACAAATCATATTTAGTAAAGTGTTATTTAAGGCTTGTTAAATTCAACTTAAGGCATCCTTAAACCAAAACCAAATGGACCATCAAATAAAAAATAATGTCTAAAAGTCTTCTAAATGTTTACAAAAATGATCCATTTTCTAATCTTTTGAAATATATTTTTTAGCTTTAATTTCAATATTTTCATACTTCTACATTCAGATTAGAGTTTAATAAATCAATTTTTTATATAAAAAGTCTTAGACTATTATATATAAGATTTATTATTGATATCTTTTATTTTATTTTTGTAATTATTTTATTTAGAATTTAATGTTAAAATAATATTTTATATTTAATTTCTATAATGAATCTTTTTAAGTTGTGTTTATATGAAAAAAAAATTAGCTATATGTAAAGAAACAATATAATTTTACTTAGTGAATGCACCTTAATCTATTTAAATTAGTATTTAATATAGTAAAATATTTAATTTAAAAAACTATAAGAGTGTATTTTTGAAGAGATTTAATTTTAAGAAACCGCTAGGTGGACACCTCCTATTTATTTCATATACACCCTCTATGCGTCCACACATATACACCTCTATAAAAGATAATTGGTTTTTATTTTAAATAATATTTTTCTTATTTTTATTATTTGAAAATAATATTTTGATAAAAATTTGTAAAAACTAAAGAATTGAAAGTTGTCATAATATGAAGCCATAGAATATAGATGGATAAGCATATACCAAATTTTGATATTACAGTAATAAATATGATAAGAATCATGATTTAATAATAACAATTTAAAATCAAAACCACTTGTTATTTGCAAAGATGTGTTTATAGGGGTTTTGTAGCACAAGAAGTTGTCCAAGTAGTAAAAGAGGGATATCCACCTAGCAATTCAGTAATTTTAATACCTCTTAATTCTCTTTGATCTTGTATTATTAAGTTAACTATTAATAATTTTAAAATATATATAGACTATATCTATACTATAATTAGAAATCTAATCACAAATTACTATCCATAGCTTGGCAATGACTAACTACTTGTGGTTGAATCAAGAGAAAAACTAGACAGTTAGATGCTTTATAAAAAAAATTTAAATTTTCCAATAGATAGATATTTTTAGAAATATCCATCTGTAATAGATAGTCCAATATTACAAAGACTAGAGATAGCTTATTTTTTCTTATAGATAATTTTTAAATGGTTCCAAATTTAAAATTAATAAATTAAATATAAAACTTTTTTGTATTTAAAAATTTTGAGTAATATTTATTATCTATATAATTTTTTAATATAAATTAAATTTATTTTCTTAGATATAAAATTTAATTTTTTAAATCTTTCATTCAAATAATATAGTCTTATTATAAATATAGAATATAGTCTTATTATAAATTATTATAAATTTATGTTTTTAATTTTAATTTTAAAAGATCTATCTAATCTGTAGTAAAATCTAGAATCCATTTTAAAATTTTTTAGAGCTTTGTTATAAGCATGTATTCACTATATATGTAAAGAACTTTCATAGCTATTTCAAAAATTAAAAGCTATAAATCTTATTTAAATAATAAAAATATATTGTAACGTATCTAATATAGTATATCTAATATTGGTAGCCACAACATATGGTTGATAAAAATGAATAAATATCTCATCTCAATATTTTTTGAATTAATTGAAATATTACGCTTTTTTAAAATTATTTACTTAAAATTATTCCTTCTTTAATAACATACTCCAATAAAAATCTAATTAATACTTAGTAAATCATATCTTAAAACACAAGTAAAAACACTCTTTAAAACATAAATACTATGCATGCTATTCTTTTGTATTTATCCTCAGACATTATTAATTTTTATCAACTATCAATAATAATGTACTCTAATTGATATTAATTATATGTTAGGATCATCATTTAAATCTCAACATTTTTGAAATATGATGTTGGATCTCTGGACCACTATGAACTAGACAACTAACTACAACCAAATTTGACTATAATATTGTAAAAACTTAAAATACTCCACATTCCAAGTCGGGAAAGTTCAACCTCAACATTAATAAAGCCAACGCTAATAAACAAAGGTCGGCCGCGCACACGATCAGCATCAGCTGTTGCATATGTCGACGTCAAGGTTCCAGATCAGGTGTTGAAGCTGCGACTTGGATCCATCGCCTGCAAGGAGAAGGTGGGGATGAATCAGCAACCGACGGAAGCTCCATCAGGAAGTCTATCAAAAATCCTTCGTCAAAGAAATGATAGCGACCGCCACTAAATTATTCGTCCCACTCAGCAGATCAGTCACCCCCTAATGAACCCTCACTGCATGACAAACATTTCGAAATGTTTTCTCGGAGACGGATGAGCTTTTCTGGATTCAGGAGTCTAGCTGATGAGGATGACTTGGGTTTAACAACGAAGATGATGGAATCTTCCTGGGGTTGCTCTGCTGGTAACTGACGCATGCTTTTATCCATCGACAAGCAGATCTGGTCAGTTCAATCGAGCAAGTGGGTATTAAACCATCAGTAGAAGCTATTATAGCAGATGGATGCCGGGATCACTGCTCTCAACCTCCGATCACAGATCAACAGTCGTCTTCTAGGAGACAGTAACGCCCATGACGATGGCCTCTGGTGATCAAAATGAGTTGAGTTGGGTATGTGAACTAACGCCAGTCACGCTCCGGAGTCCCATTTAGATTGCAGGTTAGCCTCGTTGCCGCTACGAGCATGCTGACAGGCTGAAGTATCCCCTAAGTTGTGGAAGTCGAAAGGAATAGCTCTCGAAGCTATGTTTCCAGTGCGGAGGAATGAAACAGGCCAGGATTTCGCGTCTTTCTTCGAACATCCGTCTTGATCAAGACCGAAGTGAGGATAGTCAACCACCGCAATTGTTGCAAAGTTTCAGTTAGATTGCTGTTGAGCCTTGACCTCGTGAACTCGGCAGGACCGAGAAGTGATTGTCTGGTACTTGATCATTCGATCAGCTCGGCAATGTACCGATCAAATTCGACTAAAATGGCGATGACTGTTGTCGTAATTCAGTACAAGATCAGAGCAATATGTTGCATCTTTGAGCAATGTGCGGTGTTGGAGAAGGGAGAGAGAAGAAAGAAATTGAGTGGGAGGAAGATTCCGATGGACTTACCGCAGGGACGGTCGTCGTCAAGGTGGGGACAGCGTGACAACAGTCTCTACTTTTGTATTCCAGCAGATTTAGAACTGCTGGCTGATGGAAGGTGGAACCTGTTCTATTCTGAAAGGTGAAGCAAAATCAAAATTAGGTAATGTCCACATGAATTTGCGTTCAGAAATTGCTTAAGTAGAGCTATGACGTATTGATTTCGTTGAAATGGAGAGCAATATGCTCAGGTAAGATTTGTACAAGGTTGAGATCGAGAGGCATGGAGTCGCCTGGCACAACCACTATGGCTATACTATTCTTTTACAACTTTTACAAGTTTAGGAATATCTTCACTGTCCTATTGAAGTGATGCCAAAAAAATTGTCGTCAACCTCGTTTAACTCCCATCTAGCTCTGTCGACATTGAATCACCTTGGATACATTCTTTTAGGTCTTTCTTTCGTTCATAGATTTCCTCTACATACTAGATCGAGTAACGGAAGAGGGCTGGCCGGGTTTATTGTACACCCAGCAAACTAAAATAACCTTAGATAAAATTTCGCCAGTGTGCATGTCAAAATGCTGCTACTGCCACTGCCACTAGCCCTCTCCATCAGTATGAACAGGTACTACCTCTAGTCAGATTCAACTGGGCCCAAGATTTTTGATAATTGTTTTTCTCACACTGGCACCTTCAGAAAATCTGGAAATAGAGAAAGACTAATGTTACCAGATAAACTGAAATAAGTACCATTTAACTAGGCACTATGTAGTGCTGTTGGCCTGAAATAACTAGGCACTTTGAATCTGCAAAGTCCAAATTCAATAATGAAGGGAGCTACCTCCACCAACGACAAGGGATGTGGCAGGTGCCAAGGAAATTGGCGATTTAAGTCTCGTCCAACGATGAACAGACCAGAATGGATACACACCCTCCAGCCTAGCAATCTGTTCCAAACCCAACGCAATTGCAATTCAAAAACTGAGGAAACTCTAAAAATGGCAGAAAAGAAGCATATTCTATAAGATCGACACATGACTTTAGGCAATCGTGTAAGCAAACTTCAACCTGCAACCATGATGGTTTTGTCGCGAACTGTAGGGACTCACCTTCACAGAAAGGAAACATTGGTTCCTCCAATACGTCATCCCCTTGGTCAAGATTTTCATTCCCATTAGTTTTGCTGTGAAAACCTTTTGTATCCACGGTCTGAGCATCCTCAGCCGTACCACTCACGTGTTCATGGGCATGTGATGCCTCAGATCTTCCTACTAGAAGCGGCTTTAATCCTTGAGGGGTTTGATGGAAATATGGAGGTGAACCAAACGATGAAGGTGGGGTGTCTGTTAGTACCACCTCTCGCAAATCTGCATCCAACAATCATTGCGAGGATTTAAAACATTGAAAAAACACAGGCTCCGATAAAGCGGTCATCTAAAGCCTTTCAGGAATGAGCTTCTCTATGATATCTGCCATTAACACGCCAAAAAGAAATTAACACGCGGCACTCAAGAACATGGCGACCTATAACAATGAATGTTTCTAAAAAATAGATTTATAAAGCCAGATTCTCTCACAAAGAAATTATTTCCACCTACGAAGAGAGGTATTTGTTAAACACTGCCACTGGAGGATATTGAAACGGGAGCACTGCAATTTAAGAATCGCAATGTGCAACAGCAAGCCTTCACTTCACTAGGGCGAATTCTTCACTAGCAAAATTTACAACACCTGCCCTTGCTACCAGGTTATGCGACCTTGCTCGAATATTGGAGATACGCGAGAAGAACTAAGTATGCCTCTATGATTTCAGTGTGGGAGCAAAGTGGAAGTCCACTACAAAGCATGGCCAATAAGAAAATTAACACAAACCTCGAAATGAAACACTACATACCACAATGGACTTGATTCTACCATCCTTCATGATATCTTTTGACAAAATATGGCACGTCAACAGGACAAACCTTGGTAACCATGATGATAACCATTCATACTATCTGAGCCAGCAGCAAGTGGAGCACCTTTCGAAACAAAGCTACAGCAACTATTGGAGCGTTGAATAGGCATGCCCTTCAAACCTTCTCCGTAAAACCCATCTGCTGCACTCTCATCCCCAAGAAGTTGGTCAGGAGAATTGGACACTCCAGGTAAAGTATCTGAACCTTCTATATACCTGTACAGAATATAGTTGAAACCAATTCATCAGTCGAGTTACACACTAACAGCCAAAGGACATATTTGAGTGGAATAGCAAACCAAGTTCCCAAGTGTTTTTACCATACTACAAAGTCCTATCAAACATATTAAGAAAAATCCGTCTTAATAAAGGGATGTAAAAAATAAAAAAGTAACTTGTGTTCACACGATTAGACATTAAAATAGTACCCAACATTTATCTCACCGAGAACCCTGCGCGTCGGTAAAGTTTTGAAGCCTTTCAATAACAGGAACCAGATCTTTTCTTCGTACTACGACGACCCGAGTAGAAAAATTTTCAATCTCAATCTCATCTCCAAAGAGGTCGCCAGCTTCAGGGTCCTTTGATATATCCGATAGCATCACATGGAATTGTATCTGAAAATAAGTGTTGTCCTAATAAGATTCTAGCATATAAAATAAAATGAAGGAAAACCAGGAATTAATACAACCTTAAACTTTAAAAATAAAGATACAATACCTGAAGTTCTGTGATGAGGAATACAAAACATAAAATAAACCAAAGAGTAAAAATAATATACACAAACAATTCAACTTGGACAAATATGTTCACGTAATGAGAGCAACGAATCACAAGAGCTGCAGAAAATTAATCAAATCTTGTTAAATACGCGAAGTTTCACATACCTTAGTCTTTGCCCAGATGGGCACAGGACTGGCTTGATGCGTCTGCACTTCAGCATTGGACATAAAAAACCGTTGCATCTCTTCGGTTGTCATACCTTCCTTAACTACAGGTCGTAAAGAAATACGCGTACTTCCGAAATTGGCCAGCACATCTTCTTCACGGTATGCACCTTGAGTCTCAACACACTCTTCTCGTTCAACCCAGTTTGATCGACGAGCAACATCCCACCTCTCTACAGGTTCAACAACAACCTTCAAATCTGACGAAAGGCCGGGGCTTCCTGGTGTGCACATTCCAACCTTTTGAGAGAAGTCATTGGTGTGACCACCATCAACACCGACAGCAGGACGCAGCAAGTAACGAAGAAGATGCCCTGTTGGGCACAAAACCCAGAGTTGATCCTTTAACGTCCTCACACCGACATAAGACTCCACACCTGTTCCACCACCGTCGTGAAAAACAGCAGCCACAGCGCCTGCAAGAGTATTGGGTCGACCGGTCGCTGTCACTGCAGCACTAGTTACAGTACCCCGCCATCCACCATTCCCATTCTTTATTCTACCCACGACATTGAGTGTTATGGCAGGAGGAGGCGGGTTAAGTGCTGGCTGATTCAGATTCAGTGGCTCTGTACCAGACCACCAGGAGAATGCAGGAACCGGTGTTGAAGGAGGCCCAATCAGTCCATTAATGGATACAGTTCCGTGCGTTTGTGGCCCCACTATCCCTCCAAAAGGAGATATAGCATACAAGTGGTTCGTTCCCCTTGAAGAGCTAACAGCAATCCAGTGACTGTCGCAACTGAAACTGATATCCTGAATCACCTGTGACAATATCAATAACCAGAAAATGTCAGGCTCGGCACGGAAGCTGACTTTTCTACAAACCAAAATACAGAGATGAAGAGGAAATTGCTCTCCACTTACCGCATTTGTGATCCCACGAGAGAGTTTGTAAAGATGCACAGCAGTCGTGCTTAAATCGTCACCAGTCCCGTTACCACCAGCTATTGAGGGTAAAGGCATGAGACGAAAGACATTGAGGCTGTGCCCATATATGGATGCTGTGACCAGAAGAGTGCCGCTAGGATCAAAAGAAAGTGCTGACAAAGGGCTAGAGTGAGCCCTGAATTGTGCCACTATATTTTTGCTCACAATGTCCCGAATGGTCACCTGAAATCCGTCAGATTTACTGCAACCTTTAAGATGCCGAAGAAATTATGTGTACGACCAAGGATGTGCAATGCAAGAATTCATGGGAAAGACCGTGTCTTCACCGAGATTGCAGCAGAAAGAGTGGCTGTCCAGCTCCAAGCAATGATAAGCATAGAAACAGGTAGCACTGAGGTAGTAAACCGTGCATGGGGTTCAAAAGTAACCTAGAACTTACGGTGCCAGCAAACTCTGGTTCGGGGACGATTCCTTCTCGCCATGGACTGTGTCCATTAATGCCATTCTTACTACTGGGATTCCTTTTTCCTGGAGAAGCATTGCTACTATCCGGTAACAAATCCGAGCAGTATCTAGATATTTTCCTGATACCAATATCACCCAATGCCACTACTCCTGCAACGATATGTTTGCTAGACTCCTTAGCATAATGAGCCACTACACTACTGTTGGCTGGAGAAGTAGATGGGCTTGCCACTGGAGACGGGGTCAAATGTTGAGGGGATACGCGGCTCGAGACCGTCGTAAGAGGCTGGCTGGCTGCATATGCTAGCCACCGAGGTCCAACTGCCATTGCACCGTATCCATAGTGACAGGATCCTAATGGGGTTGCAGGGGATGGATAAGTAAGCACACTAAAAATATTCTGAAGCGTCCCTGCATCAAAGCAACATATCTGGAAACTAACATGGATAAGCATCTCGATCAAAGCTCTCTCCATCAACTGAAAAGCGCAACTCTCACAAAATCCCACCTTCATCAGTAAAAGAGTCCTCAACTGTAACAACATTCAACAAAAAAGGACGCGACTTACAACTTTGTATCCAGGAAAATTGCAAAGTTTGAAAAGAAAACCGTAATGCCACTTATGCCACTCTACACCAGCTAAAAAGTAGTACTAATGGTAAACAACAAAACAAGGAGTAGCTAACGTTACACAAACGACAGAAACGTCAATTGCAATGACAAAATCAAAAATATAAATATTAGTAAAATCCCTATTACCTGAGACGCTAAAGCCACTGCGACGAAACGAGAGCTACAGCGGACTGCAAGAATTCCAGTGTGCAATCTTAACCCATGAACATAGGAGTGATTGCGAAGTGAATAAAACTGGATAACGGTTGGCACAAACTGTGGAGGTTCCAAACCCACAGTGGTGCCCCCGCTACCAGCAACATCGTCACCCGGGAAACCTGCAGCACTTTCACTTCCACAGACTGTTGCATCCGAAGTAACAACTAACAGCAAAGGTCGAGATTCCTTGAAATTTGCACATCCATCAGTTGATTCCTGAAGTATTGGTTTAGGTTGAAGACGCAGGAATGCGACTGGTCCATCACAGCGCGAGACCAGTTCATGCACATTACCCGCGTCTTGTACATCCCACACCTGAAATCTATTCAAATACGTCAATAATAGTACCTTTCGAACCTCGCCTGAGTCAAGCTCTAACTTGTCAAAACTTGACCACTGGACCTGCACAATCCCAACAATGATACAAATTTTAAATGAGTACAAAAGTTCCGATAAAGATAAGTCATCTGCATCAAATCACAGCTTCTATTCCAGGCTCGCTAGGGCAGTTAAGGCCTATCATTTAAATGTAGGAACGGGTGGCATCCATGTGCAAGCAACGGCATTACTGATCTCGGTCATTACATCTGCGCAACATGCGGCAACATCAACGTTACCTGTTCCCGCTGACGATCATCTTCGTTGAGTGAAACTCTCGAAGCTGCTGAGACAGCAGCTTGACGTACGGTGGATGCAGCAATGCTGCCCGCATTTGCAGAGACACTGCGCACGTATTTAGATATAGTGCGAAGAGAAGAAGGAAATGAACCGAACTTCCCCCCACGGGGACTATGCACATGATTGTCGGCATCGTTCCTCATCCCACTCTGTGCCTTGCTTTACAAAACTCGTTAGCCTTTCTGTGCGCATACCCGCGCTGCGTTTCTTTACACCCAATTAATGGCGTCAATACTTGGTGCTTCGAGCTTAGCTCTGGAAAAACGCCATGAATTCAATTTGCGAAGAATACATTTGCAGGTAAACCCAGCATCATTTGTTGATAGATTTGGCTTCTATGGTCACAAAACTTGTAACTAAAGGAAATCTTGTCTGAGATGAAAACACTGGAACGGCATTGATATAATAAACGACTAGAGAAGGATGCAAGCCAATCTAACATAAAGCGATTCTTATTGGAGAATGTGTTAGAATCAATATGCACTGTTGTCTGAATAACTTCGAGCAGAGAACTTCAATCTCACGACAATTGACGCGCTCATTTGATCCACATTCCTTTACAGAACCACTAAAAGCGAAATCTTACAGCTACTCACACGTTCAACCTAATTCCGAAGCACGCATTCATACAAAAACCAACGTATCAAAGTCGCTAAACTCGATTGCAACAAGAACGAGGCTGCTCAAATTGAAGCTTACTAGGAACCATTTACCTGGCAACTACTGACGAGTTTTGTCAGCCCGTTACGTCCTCAGAAACCTACGATAGATACATGTACAACATAAAAGCCCTTCCCAGTAGCAATATGCTGTTAGGTTATCAACCCAACCAATCCTTGTGCAATATGATTTGGTTTTACAATAACCGATCGGAAAAGTTATCCTTACCTAGCATGTCCCAGATAGACTAACTTTAAACACAGAATTCGAACTCAGAAAGAATGTTTACACGAGAAACTCTATTGCATGAACTCGACAACACTAAACGATGAGCAACGTAAACCGTGAAAGATAGTAAACATCCAAGCATACGATGTTCTCAAAAGAACAGTCTCCTAAAAGCATCGCACACTACCATGCCATGAATTATGAGCTGCAAAGAAAACTAAACGCTTCCAAGATTTCCAAGATCATTGGAAGTCGTGAAATCGCTCAAATTTCAAGTCGCATTAAGAGCACTTGTCGAATCATCAACAAAGGCAAGAGGACCCAGCCAGCGAAAATCCAGGTTCAATTCAACTCCCCTGACAAGACCGAGACGAGCACACAATTAACCCTCTTTCACGCAATCCACACACAGCACGAAAATTGAAACAAGCCTGATAACTGAATCAGCATCCACAAGCCTACCACGAAGAACTTTCGCCTCGCGACACACTACCCTTACCGAACTGCCAAGAGGATTCCTACACGTAACTTATACTACATGAATTTTGCACCAGGTGATTACACAAAACACAGCTAACTGCCGTCAAGTCCAATTCCCACAGAACAACATAACCTCTTCCCTCCCGCAGCGAATTGCCTCTAATCAAACAACCTAGAATCCAATGTAAGACCGATTCCAGACAACAATTGCAAAAGCCTCCCCTCTACATGCAAACCACGTCACATACTCTCCATTCACCACTGCAATCGATGTCCTCATCGCTACCTTTCGTTTACCCTCTGAATTTCCCCACCGTAGTCGCATGTAATCACAGACACCAAGCACTGCGATACACGATAATCCCCGTCAAGATCCGCACGATCCCCAGTATCATTTCATCATCGTCACCTCTCACACCACTGCGGACGAAATCCCTTCCTGCTCAGCTCCTTGCATACCACAAGCTCGCCTCTCCCGTCCCACGCAGAACACGACGAGTATCCCTCACGCAACGTAACTGATGCCATAAATTTTGCAAATCAGCAGTTGACGACACTACAAAAAATGGATCAGAGCTCACCTAGAGGAGCTTCCACCACTGCATCAGGATCAGGATCAGAATCAAATACAAATCTCACATTACAGTAACGAGAGGTTGAAGAGGTCGATGCGGAAGAGAGAGCTGGGGAGAATTGAGACTTTTTATTCTTAGGGCCGGAGTGGTTGCCTGCAGGGGTGGGCCACGGACGATTACTACCACGGGTGACGAACACCCTCCCCTCTGTCGCTCATTCTCTCCAGCCTCTCTCCACCCGCATCTCGAGGACACGCAATTCAAAAAAGAAACAAAAAATAAACAAAAATATTCATAATAATAGCAAAATCACAACAAAATTGCGCAAATTACATCAAATTGCGGCGGGATACCTACAAAGAGAACTAGTACAGTGGAAGGGATCCAGTAGAGCGTAGCGTCAACGATTGGTATATGAAGGAGAGAGCGAGAGACAAATGCGCACTTGCTTAAGCTGCTGAATCTGGAGTTTGGCAGCAACAGCAGCAGCAGCGGAAGATGGCGAAAACTTGTCGCGGCAATTCGAATTCTGTTGTTTTCTTTGAATAACGCAGTTCTCTAATCTTTCCTTCGCCTCCGCACGCAACGATGAGAAAGATGCGCCAAGTCCTTGCGCTTCAATTCCCACTTCCCTCCCCTGGGCTACTTCTTCTCCTCCTTCTTCTTCTTCTACTACTTCATCATCGCTTGGTTCTCCGCGAGCGGCACCAACTGGCAGCAACAGCCTGATCACACTCCCGCTTGTCAACTGGGACACAGTCGCTTCGTTCCTATTAAACTTTTGTTGATTTCCCAATGCCCACACTCATGCTCGTCTTCATCCATCCGACTTGCCGGGTCATCCGTATTAGTTCGTCCTTCATTCATCCTCTCCCCTATTCGTTCCTTCCCTTCCATCCATGAAATACATAAATGTTTGTTTGAACATGAGGCATCGAAGGTCAATAATGGAGAAGTTTAATGAACTCTCACAAGTGCTTGAAAGGCGAGTGGGCCATTTGTGCCATATTTGGAGTATGTAATAAGCCACAAAAATAAATTAAAGAGAAAAAAATAAAATAAAAGGAAGTAAAATTAAAGAGGGAATCATTGTGTTTGGAAATTTTGTTGTGACCAACTCCTATGGCCCATATTGTGGAGCTTTGAGGCCCCATAGCATCACATGTGGCAAGTTGTTTATTTGTTCTGGCATTTTTTGTATTTATAGCTGACTAGTACAATGTGTACAAATTGTAAAATTGGGAATGAATTTGGAAGAGTTGCTAAATAAAACACACTGGCACTCAAATGGACTTGATAGGAAACATCAATCAACACAATATTTTCTTTTTACTATGCTTAGAAACACAAAAAAAAAAAAAAAAAAAAAAAAAAAAATCCTCACTTCTATATCATCAAATATATATATGTTCCACCTCCACTTGCATAAGTATCATGTTCATATATCACAACCTAGCTTTATAATTTAATATTTTAACATCTTCAACTTTGGCAATACATATAAGCCTTTAATTTAAAATTGTACATTGAATAGATTGATAATGCTCAGAAACTGTTGATAAAATAAATATATGAGAAACATGAAAATAGATAAATATAAACATTAGAAAAGGCATATAATTAGATTTATATTACATTGATCATATATATCACAACCATATAATTTGTAAATTAAGTATTGGGTATCTTTATTTATATATATATATATATATATATATATATATACATAATTATGAAACTTGAATTATGAAACTAGAATGAAGTGGATAAATGAAATTATTAAAAAAATCAACCAGGATTATAATACAGACAAAATTATGTACAAAGAAAATGAAAATAAATTCATAAAAATAAAATTTTGAAAATGATTAACTTGAAGTATTGAACATTACGTTGCTTGCCATCTATCTATATATATATATATATAATTTTTCTATGTATGTCCTTATATATATATATATATATATATATATATATGTTATAATTATGTTATATAATTAGGTGTTTAGAAACCATCCTCTTTGAAAGCTCATGCTTTCAAGTTTTGAACAAGTATTTTTGCTTATCCAAAATTAGTGAATAATGGGCTGAATGTTCCTTTGGTAATTCTTTTACAAACTTGAATTCTAAAGAAAGGGAAAAGTGATTACATAAACAGGTTGTGGAGCTGGATTTATTAACAAGTGACTAATCTCATTAAAAAAATTAACATTCAAAAGAAATATATCTCAATGCATTTCTCAATGCACACCTAAAAATTATGGTAGTAGATCTTAATTCTATGCAATTCAAGCAAAATTTTGACTCATGATTATCTCAATAATTTTTAAAGTTTTTAAAGTTTTTTTTTTTTTTTTTTTTTTTTCAAATACCGTAAATATCTTTTATGGATATTTATCAAATACCAGTATGATTAACATGTTTTTTTTCCAGTAAATTAACTGAAAAATGTTAATGTTTACACCAAGCTCTAAGTTTAAATATTTCTTAGAATTTGGAGTCCAATACAGTAATTAATTTTTTTAAAAAAATATATGCAAAAAAATAAAAAAAATAAAAAAAATTATGAAGTTGAAACATGTAATATTTTAATTATTTTTCCAGGTCAATTCAGAAAAATTAACGTTCCGTTAATTATATTTTGATTTTAGTTTTTTTTATTTTAATACTATCAGTTCTATATCAGAAAACATTTTAACGAGTTTTTTTTCATTAAATCACAGAATTAACTAATATTTTTCGAGTCAAATACAACACAATTTTCCAGTTTCAGAATCATAATAATAGTTAGCAGGTTTCCCACTTTATTCTGTATTAATGCTTTAAATAGAACAAATCATACATTTCCCATTGATTTCAATTGTATAATACTTTATACTGTAAGTTTTAACTATTCTTATTGCATTGTTTCACTTCCTTCCCTCTTCCTGTTATCTCAAAGACAAAGAAAACTAGCGCCGTTATTAATATTCCGAGGTAAAGCTTTCAGTTTCTTGTGACCAGAATTCACATTACAAATATCTTCTTTAAATCAGTTATTTTGTACAATAATTGTTTAAGATATTTAATTGTGTCATAAATAAAAAATTATTTTTTACATGCCATTTTCATGTAAGTAAAAGCCTAAGTGATAATTTTCAAAATTTTATCAAGTTATTCTTTTCAGTTACTCATGGAACTAAAATTAGGAGCATCTAGTCATCTAAATTTATCTTTTGAGCATTTAGAGCAATCTAAACTATGCATTTTTATCCCTATCTTGTCTTTAGAACCATTGTGATCTTTTTGGATCTTTTAAAATTAGAATTATTCTTGGTATATATGTACTTGTTTACATGTTTGTTTGATTTTAAATGTTTTATCTTACAAAGCATTGGTTCTTTTCTTCCTCTGTAAATGCAATGTAAGATTATAAATACCTGCAATAAGAATATCAATGTTTTCCAGAAAATAAAAATAAAAACAAAAATCTAAATCATAATCATAATAAAAACATGTGTGTGTGTGTGTAAATACAGTTATTTGCTCACAATTATAAGGCTTAAAATTAATTATTTGTTAAAATGATGTTTTCATAATTTCTATGTATTAGAAATTTACAATGTATTAAATTTCGATTGTTCGAGCATTGTTAGTTAAATGTTTTCCTGAACAAACTTTATCAAAAACCGGTATTATTTTTAAGTTTTCTAAATTGTATATATATATATATATATATATATATATTCTAAAAATATAATATGAATGTATCTAAATTTATATTTATTTATTTATCATACCATTTCTTATGAGGGGAGCATTTGTATCCATACCATAGAATAACAGTAATAACAACAGCATACAAATGAAAACTCAATTTTATTTTCTGCATCTTTTGCATTGTGTTTGAAAGAGTTTTTGACTTATTCATCAACAATTGAACAATAATATGATTGCTTTATTGTTTTTTGTGCAGAGCATTGTTTAGGATAAAAAATCATGAACTTTAGACAGATATTTTTATGTCTTAATTGATATATTCCTTTTTTCTTTTTTCTTGTATTTTCACATGTCTTGTTAATGTAGATAAGTGTATGTGTATATGAATAGCAACATATATTTATTCACAATCAGGTCATTTCTTTTAAATAGTTTGTGTACATTGTTTAAAGTGTCTGTAATACTTATTAAAACTAATGCATTTGAATTTTATTTATTCAACAATGACTCTTGTTGAGGGCTCCCAAAAGTTGTTTTCTGAAGTCGTAAATAAATAATTATTTCCAAAAATTAATATTTTTTTTGGACACGTGCATCCCCCCTCATCCTTTCATATTACATTTGTTAACAACTACGTTTTACAATACATATTATAAATGAAAAACGTAAAGATCTACTCTATTAGATTAGATTTTTTTTGTGGGTTGTTACTCCTAAACTAGAGTCAAAAGTTGTAAACACGACCCATTTCGTTTTGTAAAACAAATTGCCATGTAAACACGCTTTATCATTGCCCCATTGATTTTCATAGTCATGGAGTTTCAAACCACAGTCTAATCCAGCAAGCTTTTAACTTTAAAGCCTCCAAAATTGGAACCAATTTACAGAGCAACATTTCTCTAAACACGGTTAGAATTCTTTTAAAGTCTTATTTGGCTTTGGACATGATGCAAAATAGCAAAAACAAGGCAACTTGTGCAATAATGGAAACTGATGAGGAGAACTCTTAATTCAGACAAAGGCCAAACACCGTGCCATGGGGCCGCTATAAAACACCCTATCTCAGTCAATAATAACAAAAACAAAGAACACTGCGCATAGGCGATTATAATGATGGAGGGGCATTTCCAGTGGGTGGTTGGGGATGCTCTCACGCAGATCTGGAGAAAGGCGCCTATACCCGGCTTTAGCGCCCCAATACCCGGCGCTTGGGTTCACCGGGTGAGCCGGTTACTCTTCCTGTGCCCCTGGCGACCTGGTTTGAACGAAAGTAAGAGCGGGCCACAAGCGAAACGGGGGGGGGAGGGGAAGAAGCAGAGAGAGAGACAGAGACAGAGACGGAGGGAGGAGGAGGAGCGGAGCTGCGTTGCTCCATCGCGCGGCACGTCCATGTGTGGAGTCCAAGTCTCTCGCCTTGTTTCCGCTTTCCTTTCCACCATTTGAGCGTCCTCTGCTTGCAGCTCAGGCTTTCTTCGCTTAGGGTTCCGGATCAGTATTGCATTACGCCTCTCGCGCTGCGTGGTGTAACTCTCTGTTGCAATTGGCGGAAAACTGTGAGGTTTAGTATTTGTCGTCCTGTCGTCGCGTCGCATCGCGCGGGATTTTTTTTGTTTCGGTGGATCTGACGTGGAGAGTGTGGTGTGAGCATAGTAATGCGGGAGGAGTGCAGGGATCTGTAGGTTAGTGTTGCGACGTGGGAAGCGTGAGGTTTAGTGTTTCGACGTGGGAAGGCGAGGAGGCCGGAGCCGAGGGTATTTGATTGCTGGATCTAAAGCATGGCGTATAATGACGATAAGAGCGAGGACTATTTGTTTAAGGTGGTACTGATAGGGGATTCTGCTGTCGGGAAGTCGAATCTGCTGTCCAGATACGCGCGCAATGAATTCAATTTGAACTCGAAGGCGACCATCGGAGTGGAGTTTCAGACTCAGAGTATGGAGATCGATGGGAAGGAAATCAAGGCGCAGATCTGGGATACAGCTGGCCAAGAGCGGTTCAGAGCTGTGACTTCAGCTTATTACAGAGGTGCGGTCGGTGCGCTTATCGTGTATGATATCAGCAGGAAGGGCACATTCGACAACGTTGGTCGCTGGTTAGACGAGCTGAGAGGTACGTATAGATAACGTAAATACTGTCTCGAGGGTTCTAGATTACTACAGGACGTTTCATGCCGCTTCTTCAGTATTGGAATAGTTGCGCGACAGGGATTTGGAGAAACCGGATGTGAGGTATCTAGATGCAAGAGGTTGTTTTCTCAGTAATGTGAGCCGCTTCAATCTTGGTGATTGACCCATTTACTTCTTTTCAATGTCTACTTGTGTGTAACTCGCAATGCAAGTTGTATACTGCTAGTATGTTCTGGTCGAAAGAAAAACATACTATAGTACTCAGATGATTCTGTATTGAAATAGTTCGCTTTTAATCTTGCAGTGCATTCAGACGCGAGTGTTGTGGTGATGCTTGTGGGCAACAAGTGTGATCTGGATAATATCAGGGAAGTGTCACAAGAAGAAGCCACATTGTTAGCGCAGAACGAGAAAATGTCGTTCATCGAAACCTCGGCTATGGATGCTACGAATGTTACCAACGCTTTCCAGTCAGTTGTGAAGGAGATTTACAGAGTAGTCAGCAAGAAGCCACTTACGTCATCTGTGTCTATGAAGTCCAACACTGTTTTGGGAAGCAGCCAAAGATTGGCAGGCATCGACGATATACAGCCAAAGAGAAACTGCTGTTCAACAGGTTGACAATTTACATTACTCGGTGACCTTTGTGTGGACCTTCTTGCGTTACCTTATTTTTGAAAGTCCCTGCAACTAGGAGGAACTAGAACCTTGAGGTAGATATTGTTTTAATATTATCGAGCTAGAAACTGGAGAAGCCTTTCTTCGCTGAATACGTAATCTCGTTGATTTCGTTACTTGTTGATTTCTTTGTTCACTTGCTAGGTAATAAAAGTGAAGTTGGAGAAGCTCTACAGTTTGGTGTGTATTGCATTACTATAATTAGTAAAACATCAGAATCTGAAATCTCCTGCAAATTCTGAGGCATCATTTGTAATTTGTGAAATGTAATGTTTACTGTAAAAATATCCTTCCCGACCGATGTCTCCAGAGCCCTCTCAGCTCGGTGTCACGCTGTAGTCCTGGTTGAAATTTTCCCGTCATAGCTGAGTTTCTACTGATATTTATCAAGACATCACTATTTAGTTATCTAATCTAAAATAATAATTGAGCATAGACTAGCTATCTATTATATCGAATAGCTTTCTAGCGACAACATAATGGAAAATGCAAGAATGTTAAGTGCAGAATGCGTCGTCATATTATTGTGTTTGGAGACATTATTATGTGACTGTAATTCTATATTTGAACAAAATTACAAGTAAAATATGGATTAGCAGTTGTACAAATGTTGACAAGTTTAACTTAGTAAAAGTGTTGAAATTAAGCAAAAAAGTGTAAAACATGTTCTTTGCTTTTAAACAAGTAATATATTCTCAATAACGTATATGTATTTTAATTGTAAATACATTCATTATCAATTTATATATGTTTTTAGGGATGCTTTCTATAATTAACTTATCACCCACTTAAATAGTAAAAAGATGCTATCAATAACATAAAATAATGAGTGATCTTTTATTAGTTTATTTGATTGATGTGTTTGTTCAAATGTATTTTAGTGCTCACATAAACAATATTCAGTAAAACATTATCCTTAAATCTTTTCACAAGAGAAATAGATAAATATTAAATACCTGTTGATGTAAGTAAAACAGAATAAAATCATGAATAAAAACATCTAAGTAAATGGACATATTAATAAATATATAGAAATTATAAATGTGTATACTAATTCTTTAGTATTGTCATTGGATAAATCTTTTTTATAAATATTTCTTAATTTCTTAATTTCTTAATTTCATTGTTTTAAAATTAAGATTGTTTGGCCCTTATACCTTGGAACACTCAACTTTTTCTTCAATGTTTTTTGATGTAAAAATAAAAATAAATATTTTTATATTTTAAAAGTATTTTGATACAGAATTTGGAATATTTTACTATGAGTTATAATATTTAAGTCTCATACATTAAACATATATTTTATTTTATGTGCCTTTATTAAAAATAAATCAATTAATTAGCTCTCTAATTTTATTAAATTTGTTCCAAAGTTCATTGCACAAAAGGCTTCAAAATGGCAACTTTTGTTTAAAGAAGAGTTGTCATTTAGAAGTATTGGTCTTGAAAATTAGCACAAAGTGAGAAGATTCCATGACATGACAATATACATTTAAATATTATGTATAAGATTTATATCTTGGCTTTGATAATTAAAATAAATAAATAAATATATATATATATATATATATATATATATATATATTATTGTATAGTAGTATCTCTTCTTCTTTTTTTGTAAAATCATTTTGTAAAAATGAACCTAATAAAACTTTTGAAACAACACTATTTGTGTTATGTAGAAAAACACATGTAGAAAAAAATAAGTTCAAATTCATCATTTTCTCTTACATCTCCTTGTTATAAATCAATTTAAAGAATTCTCAATTTCAACAAAACCAAACTTTGAAAGTTGCATTCTTTTTGCCTTCTCTTGTAAGCATGAATGACCCTTCTTAATAGACTTTTATCATATTTATTTATATTTATTATTACCTTCATAACAACTTTTAAAACTCATAATTCCAATTTTGCTAGTATATTATTTTGAATCAAACTGGAGTATTATTTTGAATTTATGCTATATCATCTGAAAAAAAAAAAAAAAAAAAAAAAAAACATTCTTAAGGAGTAAACAACCAGGCCTCCCATACATCAATAACTTGGATGTAGTAACACACATACAGCACCAATTCCTTTTGTAATATTGGTAAAAATAAAAATAAAACACAAAAAAATTAAAAATTAAATAAAATTACATCTATTCCCATCACCACCATTTAAACTACCATTTAAACTTTCTAAATGATTTTGTGACATTTACATGCTTTCTTCTTCTTTTCTTCTTAAAAAAAAAAACAAAAAAAACAAAAAAAACAAAAATGATCATTTGCAAAACTCACAAAATCTATTTTCTTTCAACTATTCAATGACAAGCACTATTGACACTTGAATATATACAAATAAATGTTTTAGGTTACTGTATTAGAAGTAGTAGATTAAAAAGTTTTGAAGATAATCCTTATCAAGTATTTTTTTGCACTTGATATGATTTATAATTATTAACCTTCTCGTATTAACCTTCTTGTATTATAAAATATAGATACATTTTTTGTAGTACATTTATTCTTTTTATTTACGTATATGTAATTTCTTGTGAATTACTTATTTCTATTTTGAAAATTAAATTATGTATCCTTCAAAAGCATCATGATTTTCTGGGACACATGTAATTTTTATTTTTAATATACTAATATTTTTTATTATGTTGGAATTAAAGGCCTATTTAAGAAAAGTGTAGTTTATACACTTGTGTGTTTTTAAACAAATTATTTTTTATTAAAAATGATTATAATATATATATATATATATATATATATTTTTCAATATCAATCATGTTTTCATGTTACATCAACTTACTAAATAGTTTTTATTAGCCATTCTTTTAATATAGAATTAAGCACATTCATCGGTCAAATTAATATTCATTGTGTGCATTTTTCATCTATATTTGATTACAAAGTTGCAATATGTATCAAAAGACACAAAATGAAAATTTCGAGTTATTCTTTTTCAAAATTTTAAATATGCAAATTATATGAAATATTATTGTTAACTGATTTATTCCAACTGGAAAATTTTGATTACTATTTATATTCCTTGTTGTTGTTGTTGTTGTTGTTGTTATATGACATGACTTGTTTTTTTTAAAATCATTTGTTATGTTTTATTAAATTTTGATTTTTCTTTTATGAAATGGTAAATAATTTGAAATGATAATATACATATTTTTAAAACTCATAAGATTTACAATGGGTTTTGTACTACTTCCAACTGTGACATGCATTACAAATATTTACTGTTTGCAAAAGTGTGCGTTTTCATTCTAAACAGAAGCTATACATAACTATAAACCTTAACAACTTACACATGATTTTCTTACACACTTTTTGTAATATTATTTCATACAGTTGTTTATTTTCTATAAATATCTACTACAATCAATTGGTCTCGATTAATTTTGCAACTTAGTTATGATTCCATTTGCACACAACAAAAGAACAATGCAAAACTTCTTTTTTTTCATATCTTTCGAATTGCAACGCTCAATCCTAAACCCTAAATTAATTTCTCCATGTAGTCACAAGAGTGAGTGATTTTTCTCACACTCTTACTAAAATACAGAAAAAGCACACGAAAATCACAATGTGAAAAAATGGTGATTGGGCAGAGCAAGAGTTTAAATGTATTGGACTTGTCAATGAAGGAGGAATTAGGGTTTTGTCGAACCTGCACCGAAGCGAGTTTCCAAAGCTGGGCGAAGTTGGGTGTCGAGGCTTGGTACCGAGGCAGGGTACCCAGGCCAGGTGACAAATCTACATTACCGAAGCTATGGTGGTAGGCTCGGTTAGGGCTTGGACGCGTGCACGGGAAGAGGGTCAATACGAGCACCGGCTAAAACCCTAGTTCTTTTGCTTCCTCGCGAGCGTTGGAGCTTTGTCGTCGAGGATTGTGGCCCCATTCAGTAATCTCAGAATCACAGCGCCATTCAGGTAGCCATGGCCGAGCGCGGAGGAGAGCGCGGAGGCTTCGGCCGTGGGTTTGGTCGTGGTGACAGAGGTGACCGAGGCGGCCGTGGAGATACAGGCAGGGGTGACCGCCGAGGAGGACGTCGCGGCGCCAAGCGCGACGAGGAGGAGAAGTGGGTGCCCGTCACCAAACTTGGACGATTGGTGAAGGACGGTAAGATCAAGTCCCTCGAGCAGATCTACTTGTTCTCTCTGCCCATTAAAGAACACCAGATTGTCGAGTTTTTCCTCGGCTCCGCTCTCAAGGATGAGGTCATGAAGATCATGCCCGTTCAGAAGCAGACCCGTGCGGGACAGCGTACCAGGTTTAAAGCTTTCGTCGTCGTTGGTGACAACAATGGGCATGTGGGTTTGGGAGTCAAGTGCAGCAAAGAGGTGGCGACTGCCATCAGGGGTGCTATCATCTTGGCTAAGCTTTCGGTCATCCCAGTTCGCCGTGGATACTGGGGTAACAAGATTGGCAAGCCCCACACCGTGCCCTGCAAGGTCACTGGAAAGTGTGGTTCCGTCACCGTGAGGCTGGTCCCTGCCCCCAGAGGTTCTGGTATTGTGGCTGCTCGTGTGCCCAAAAAGGTCTTGCAATTCGCCGGTATTGAAGACGTGTTCACATCCTCGCGCGGGTCGACTAAAACCCTTGGAAACTTCGTCAAGGTGAGAATGGGTTTCTCGTTACACAATGCCATAGAACCCTGTCAATTTCATTGTTTTTTTTGTTTTGTTTTGTTTTGTTTTGTGTTTTTTTGTTTTATCTCCGATTAGGGCTGCTAGCATTGTGTTCGAACATGGTTGATCCATTAAGTGGCTTCACTTATCTCAATCATAATCACAATTTCTGCCATCAATCCAGTCTATTATCTAATGCTGAGAAGTTTGTGGTAAGACATTGAGGTGATCCAAATTTGTGACCATTTGTTGAAGATACTGTTACATCCTAACTTCTTCGGATTGCCGAAGCACTCTGAAATGTAGATTATTAAAGCATTGAATCTAGCGATAATTGTGTTTTGATACAAGCTACCTGTGGTTGTAAATGTTGATTTTCAGGCTACTTTTGAGTGCCTCCTGAAGACCTATGGATTCTTGACCCCTGATCTCTGGAGAGAAACTCGGTTCTCTAAGTCGCCGTTCCAGGAATTTACCGACTTCCTTGCTAAGCCTCACAAGATTAGCGTGGTGGAGGACGTCGAGAAGACTCCAGTATACTGAGGGAACATCAAGTCATATTACATGTGCCTAATCTTGCTCGCACTTCCTTTCAGGAGTGGTACATTCTGGAAAGTAAAGCACCAGTTTTGAAGCATTCTCTTGTATTGTTTATTGTTGGAGTTTATCTTAGTCCATTTAATCTTCAGCGAACTAGTGTTAAACAGTGGAGTGGTTTGATTGTCCTATTTAGACATCAATCCCCGTGATGCTTTTACACAGTAACACCGTTCCTGTTTTCCATTGTGACTATCTCGTCTGCTGACTATTTTCTGTGACGATAAAATGAACTTTACAAGTGTAGTCGCTGCACTCGTGAGCTGTGCACCTGTTCGGAATATGTGGGGATTTTATTCCAGTATCATTCCAAGTGAATGTGGGTGACGAATTCAGAATGTTGCCTCTTATCGAGCTGTGCCTTTCTACATCTCAGTTACCGGGACATCCTGCTTTGATGGATCTCAGGATTTTTGCGTATTCAAGGATATCTTTACTTAGAGCTAGCTATGTGGTTCCGAAAGGCATGTTTTCTACGTACAATTGTGGCAACCTTTCAGGTAAATATTTTGGTATGTGTCATGCAGTTGTTACGTCGAAAATAACAGCGATGCAGTCTCAAAGTAAGTATCAGTAGATAATCCCTACTCTAGGTGAAGATCCTTGCCTCATGATATGAAACACTATCCCAGTGCAATGTATTGCAAGAACATAGTACTCGCTGGCTCTTATTGTTTACTCAAAACTGTGATATTCGTTGTAAATTATTTAAGGCCTGTTATTCATGTTTTGGTGACAGGAAATGATGCGTTAGCTCGTAAATTAACAACGCAGATCGTACACCAGTTGTAGCTTGTAACAATTTAGCGTCCGTTGTTGAAAACCTAACTCATTTTTGACTTTGCTCATATTTCTGCCAATCTTAAGTGCTATAATCACTGAATCTGATGTAAACATACCTGTGTCGTAGAAGTTGAAATACTGAAAAACTATAAATTTGATTTGATTTCTCACACATCCAAATCGAATAAAGAATGAAATCTACCCTCCAAATCACGAAAATTGGTTTATTTATTTATTTATTTTTATTTTGTATAAATTGGAACTACTTTATTTTTGGACACCAATAATTCAAAATTTTTAGTATAAATAGGTATCATCTACATAAACAGCAGTAGCAATCAATTTTATGTGTCAATATTAATATTTCATTAAAAAATTAGTTAATGAAAGTTTTAGAGATTTTAAGTTTAATTTTTGTGTACATAACTTCAGCAAAATCAGTTTAACATTTTTCACAATTATATAAATAACAGCTACATTAGAATTTTTTTTTAAAAATAAATCAGTACTATAGAAATGATGTTTATTTCATCAAAAGCATTACAATTTATTTACATTCAATACAATTTTTTTCATTTACTACAAGACAAAATATTATTGTGTCAAGCAATTCAGAAGTAAATACAAAAAAAAATTATATTACAAAAAAAATTAATTCAATGTAAATCTCCATTTCATACAATTTTATTTTATTATTTTTGTATTTACTTACTAAAAATATGATTTTTTTATAGTCAAAATTTAATTAAAAAAAAAAATCTATGATACAAAATATTTATAGACTATATTGAAGATACTAAGTACTATTGTTTGTAGGACATTGAAAATGGCTCATTAATTAAGAGCCGTGATATTAAGTTTGTTGAGTATAAAGACTCTAAGCAAAAGAAAGGAACTTTGGAGGTTTCTATTGATAAATCTCAAGAAATAGGGATTAAAATTGAGCCTACAGAGACTTCATCAAATTTGAAACGTAACAATGAAGATACCTTGGGAGATTTGGACATTGGCAAAAGTCACCAAAAACAAATTGTTGAGTCTTCATCTTCAATTTGAGATATTCAAACAGAAGCTCAAGCACTTGGACAACAACGTGCGGCTTTAATTCTACCTCCCCATCTACTTCTATCTTCACCAATGATGACACATTCACGAGCTTGACTTTTGGCACAACAACAATAAGCAATTAATGAATTAGCATTGGCTTGGATTCTTTCTAAGTCATTGATATCTTCAACATATATGGCACATATTTTTTACTCAAGCATTGAAGAATCAGCTACTATTACTAAACTTATGAAAAGGGATGATACTTGGAAGTAGAAGGAATCAATGGATTCAAAGTACTAGAGTCTCATTGACAATAAGACTTGGATTTTGATACTATTCTTAATAAACAAAAAATAAATTTATTATAATTAGATTTTTAAGATCAAATTTAACGCAGATGGATTAGTACAGTGCTATAAGATAAGATTCATTACAAAAGCTTATGTGCAAAAAAAAGGTATTGATTATGTTGTGATTTTTGCTCCAATGGCAAAAGTAAACTCAATTTATATACTTCTAGTACTAGTTGTAGTTGAAGGTTTGGAAGTTCATCAAATGAATATCAAGATAGCATTTTTAAATGGAGATTTTGAAGAGGAAATATATATGGATCAACTAAAAGGCTATATATTAGAAGGTGAAGACCAATTGGTGTATAAACTTTTTAAAATCTCTATGGGCTCAAACAATCTTCTAGAGCATGGTACAGGAAGATAGATGATTATTTTCTATCATAAAATTTGAAAAAAAAACTATGTCAATTCTAACATTTATTTGTTGTTGATACATGGTGGATTCTTCATCACCATTGTAGTCTATGTAGATGACTTGATGCTTATATCCAATAATAAGAAACTTCTCTTAAATACAAAGAGAAATTTAGCTAAGAGGTTTGAGATGAAGGATTTGAAAGATATCTACTATATTTTGGGCATGCAAATTATGAAGAACCAAAAGATTTATAAAATCTACCTTAGTTAGCAAAAATATGTGGAAAACATCCTTGAAAGGTTTGGCATGAAAGATTTTAAACCTTTGACTATACCTTTGGATTCTAACAATAAATTATCAAGAGACATAAATCCACAAATTTCTAAAGAGGTTGAAGCAATTAAGGAGATTCTATACTAAAATGCAATTGGCAGTTTTGACTACACAATGATAGGCATTTGAGGCAATATTTCTTATCTAGTAGGAATTGTTAGCCAATATATGGAAAATCCTAGTCTACAACATTGGATAGCAATGAAACGCATTTTGTAATATCTTCAAGGTACATCACATTATGTACTACAATATGGTGGAGGCTCTTTAAGTTTACAAGTAGTTGGTTATTATGATACAAACTATACACGAGATATTATTACATGACGTTTGACCAATAGTTATACATTTTTATTAGCTAGTGGTGCAATTAGTTGAAATATTAAGAAGCAACCAATAATTGTATTATCTACCACTAAAATAGAGTATATGGCAGCTACTTATATTACAAAGAAAACAATTTGGCTTCAAAGATTTTTTAAAGACATTAGATTTTGACAAGATGGTCCTTTGATTATTTTTAGTGATAATTGAAGTTATAATTTTCTTTCAAAGAATCTTACATTCTACACTTGTACTAAGTATGATAAAATTCAACATCACTTTGTTTATGAGAAGATTAAAAGTAACAACATTAACTTTGTTTTTTGTGGGATTCAAGACATAATTGCAGATGTTTTGACTAAAGGTCTAACTTATGAAAAATTCTCACAAATATATTAATTTTTCTCAATAATTATCTATATGATTAAATAGAAGTATCTAAATATAAATTAATTTCATAATATCTTCTACAAAAGTATTTTAAAAGCTTCATAGATGTAATTTTGACTTTACATATGTTTATAGTTGATTAGTAGGTTAGAAATTTGGTCAACAAATTAACTATGTGCTATACATGTTGGTAGCTTGTAGAACAAGCTAACTATATAGTGTACATATAAAAAACTTGCCTTACAAGTTAAGATATGTGTTTAACAAAGTCAAGATATGTTCAAGGTCCTATAGAATATTGCCATATAGCTCTTAGTTAGATATTATATATGGAGGCAAGAGTAAAGCCTTCTTCACACTTGTCAATGCCTTTTTAGCCCTTAGTCTTGTTTCAAGATTTTATAGTCTTCTTGTCTTGGAAAATTGCCATTTTAATTCAATATATTATCATTTTTGAGTGATTTCTTAGTCTTTTTGAGTGATAATAGAGTATATTGAGATTTTCTTTCTTTGAAGTTCATGTCCTTGAAAAAAAAAATTATAAATTCAAAGAAATAATGGCATCAGTAAATTGAGTTAGTCTAATATATCATTAAGTGATAATATTAATAAAGTATATAACTCCTATTAGACATAATAGAAAATGGGTAGTTAATACCGCTTTCCTAATTTATAATTTATAGCTCCTATTTATTGGTAGTAATATTATTTAGCAATAATATCCATGTGATTAGTTATTAGACTAGTTGTATAAATCCAAAGCTCATTTTGCAAGCAGTTTTAGATCTCTTGTCTTTCCATATTTATACTTCTATTCTAGCAATATACTTCTTGATATTGTATCATAATTTGAAACAAGAGCAGACATCTAAATCATAGAGATAAGAAATAGAAAATTTAGGAGGAATAGAATTGATTTATATCCTTTCATCTAATTAATGTAATCGCTATATGTTCTTCTATTACTTCTAATTTATTTGCACATTTGTAATTGTGATTGATTTCTTATAGATTTATAACTTACTTACATTTATGTTTAGATGACATTTGTAGTTCAATAAATACCATGGCTATTCTTGGTAATAATTTTCATAAGTTGTTATAGTTTGATTAATAAATTAGCACTTAGATAATTTTTTAAAATATAAAAGAGGTAGAAGAAGCATTATTAGTACAAAGAAGGAAATGGATTTTCAATGAAGTATGCTTAGAAATGTAGCAACCAATTGATAAAGAATATGGACAAGTAAAATATGTAAATTTTTAATTTTAGATATAAATTAGTATAGTATAATAAATTATATATATTTTTGAAATAATTTATTGCAATACATTAAATTTATCAAAGACAATATAAAGATGTGGAGGATAAATTTTAGGTAGTATTAAAATAGATATAATATTCATATAAAAATTAAAAGACTAAAAGATTATTCAAATTGTGTAGGTTAGAAAAAACATAGAAATTATGATAAAATAGAACACTATAAACAAATATATTTTTAAAATATATTTAATTTTTAATTTTTAATTTTTTAAACTATTATGATTATAAATTTATTATTTTATTTATGATTATGGTATATGCACAAAGACATTGGATGGTTTGATAAATATTAATTAAGATTATTGATGTAGTTATGGAAGTTGTAGGCATAGATATTGAACTCATTATATATAGAATATAAAAGA